GGTGGAGCAACGTTAAAGAAAACAACCAGATTCTGACTGTTTAAAGCTGATCAGATAAGAATCAGAACGGAAAAAAGAAATTGGAAATCCCAGTTAACAAATGAAACCATTTAGGAGTCACTGAAGTCTCTGAGCAGCCGACAGCGGACGTAGATGAATTATTATTAGAGGAACTGAGTTGATCTGTTCTGGTTCTGGTTACTCTGTTACAGTGCCTGGTCCCGGGGGGGTTCTGGAGGCCTACCCGGCCCCCCTGAGCAGCAGGTAGAGGGCGGAGACGGTGATGGCGGCGGCCGTGTAGCTGAACGCGGCGCTGTGGACGCTGCTGGTCCGGATCTGGTCCCCCAGAGTCCTCTGGGTCTCCTCCAGGCTCCGGACCACCGCCCCGGCCTCCCACCGCTGCCCCCCCCCCTCTGGTCCCTCTAACCCCACCCGGGTGTTTTCCTCCTGGACCCGGGCCTCCAGCAGCCCCCTGACAGCCTGCAGCTCCCCCTGGATCCTCCCCAGGCCCTGCTCCAGCTGCCCCAGCTGGGGGGGCAGGGCCTCCAGCAGGGCCCGGGACTCCCGGGACTCCCGGGTCTCCAGGCCCAGGCCCTCCGGGGCCGCGGGGGCCTCTGGGGCCGCCCCCCCCCCCCGCCGGGCCTCGGCCAGGGCCGCCCTCAGGCTGCCGATGAGCGCCCGCAGCTCGTCCTGCTGCCCGCGGTGGTTCCCCGCCTGAACACGCAGCGCCTCCTGCAGGCTCTCCGGGCCCTTCTGGGCCTCCAGCAGCAGGCTCTTCAGCTCCTGGAAATACACGGAAACAAGAAGGAGGGGGGGGCTGAGACCGGAGAAGCCATAGGGACAAAGAGACAATACTCTCATGGGAGTGAGGGCATCTCGCCACACATCGGGTGTACAAGCAACTTTACAAGCAACTTTAACCAAAAAATATCTATTTCTCACAATTAGGAAGGGTGGAGGGTTAGGGTCAGGGTTAGGGTCAGGGTTAGGGTTAGGATTAGGGTTAGGGTCATTAATGTGGGCCACCGCCCACGATAACATCAGTAATAACCAGTAAGTTTGAAACCAAAGACACTAACCCGTCAAAATTCAGTTAAATTTTGGGGTCTCTGTTTTTATCCTTGTGGCATCGAAAATGGTATCGAGTATCGAGTATTTTCCTGAGTATCGGTATCCAGTTGAAAATGTTAGTGACTTTTAGTGAAATCTAAATTGAATAGATAGTTTTCAATTATTTAATTTCAAATAAGGACTTTTAATTAAGGTTAAATAAATAGTTAGTTCACTAAAATGACAACTGGTTGGATGCAACGGCAGCATTTCTGTATAACAGCAGATTAAAGCCGTTTGTCTTACAGTCAAGTGTTTATGTTGCAGAAAGGGAAAAAAGGACAACTCTGTTGGTTGTGTGTTAAATAACCCGAACCTCTGTCGATGATGCAGTTACTTCCAATTTGCAATTGCCTTTTTTTACCATGGCGCCTTCAATTTCTATTGTATTCTGTTTTTTATTCTAAAACGACGCTCACCTGAAGGCGGACGCGGTTGATGTACGTTGACCCCATGACTCCGATCAGGGCCCCCAGCACCGAGCCCACGATGGACCAGTTCTTGGTGCGCTCCGCCCTGGTGCGCTCCTTCTCGTGGCTCTCCCGGACGCCGGCGGAAAAAAGGGCGAACTTTTCCCGCTCCGCGCCCTCCGCGTTGGCGTGGGCGGTCCGGAGCCGGCGCTCCTCCTGAGGGACACAAGTAGGGGGGTCACGATACTAAAGTTTTCAACTCGATACCGATACTCAGGAAAATACTCGATACTCGATACCATTTTCGATACCACAAGGATAAAAACAAAGACCCCAAAACTGAACTGAATTGTGTCTTTGGTTTCAAACTGACCAGTTACTGATGTTATCGTGACTGGTGGCCCACATTAATGACCCTAACCCTCCACACAGACTCTAACCCTCCACCCTAACCCTGACCCTAACCCTAAACCTAACCCTGACCCTGATCCTCCACCCTAACCCTAAGCCGGACCCTAACTCTAACCCTGACCCTAAACGTGACCCTAACCCTCCACCATAACCCTAACCCTACTTTACTGACCCTAACCCTGACCCTAAATCTAACCCTCCAACCTAATCCTAACCCTAACCCTTGTTTTCTAACCCTGACCCTAAGCCTGACCCAAACCTTAACCCTTACCCTAACCCTCCACCCTTCATAATTGTGAGAAATAAATATTGTTTGGTTAAACTTGTTTGGACTTATTGTACAAACCTATTTAACATACACTATTTTAACATAATATCATGGATAGAGTTTAATTAAGTGTTTGAAAGATTAATTTCACTACTTTTAAATTAATGTCTATATTGCCATGAAGCCATTAGGATTTTCTTGCCTGGGATCTTCCTATTGGTGACGTAATCAAAATGGCCGACTTCATGTGGGCGGACTTGGATATATTTGATTAATTTTAGCATGTTATTATTAGCTATTGGCCGAACTAGCAGTTCAAGGCTAACGTCTTGTTAATGATCATGAACAACGTAGTATCGATACTTTTTTAAATGAGTATCGTATCCGGATACAACATCTTAGTATTGATACTTTTTTAAGTATCGATACTTTTGACAACTCTAGCCACAGGGGGGCGCCGTCCCCTTACTCCCCTCCTTACTCGCCCTTACTCCCCCCTTATTCCCCTCCCTACTCCCCTGTATTCCCCCCCTTACTACCCCCTTATTCCCCTCCTTATTCCCCTACTTACTCCCCTTTACTCCCCCGTATTCCCCCCCTTACTCCCCCCCTGACCCCTCTAACCGGCCTCTGAAGGCTCACCTGCAGCAGCTTGTGCTCCAGCGTGGCCAGCTCCAGGTAGTGCGCCTCCTCCCGGGAGACCCGGTCCAGCCGGTCCCTGACCTCCTTCAGCCGCACCTGCAGGGCCTCCAGACTCACGTGGGCCTCCCGCACGATCCCCCTGGCCACCATGAAGGCCGACTCGGCCTGGAATAAAACACAGTCCAGTCCTCTCTCTTCAGCCCCGTTAACTCGTTGGCTGCCAAAGACGTCTATAGACGTCAATTCAAATACAACCGGCAGGAGAAAACTCCGATCCAGACTCCAGATCCAGTTTTAGCATTAGCATTAGCATCTGTAACCACAGGTCTATGTCCTAACCATTAAGTTTTTATCAGAGTAAATCCCTGTTCAACATGAGTTGAACCCTAATCGGACCCTAATCAGACTGCCAAAGACATATATAGATGTCTTTTATGTTTTTCAACGAGAGTGGCTGGGGGACGATCTGCTAAAGCTTGTCCGTAAATATCAGGCTTCTAGACAGAGTATGTACTAACAAATTGACCCTCTAGGTGGCAGTGCCACTTTTGATGGGAGATGAGCATAGACTGTAGGCAAATAAGAAAAACGTAATGGTTCGCTATGCGAGAAATGGCGCCGGTGAGACGCAAGTCGAGGAAGAACAGAATAAGGTAGAAACTAATTTTTTTTCCTGATGAAAGAAGAGAGTCTACCGTTTCTTTTGGTGTGTTCGGTGTTTACATAGTCATAGCACAAACTATTCTGTGGCTCAAAAAACTCTGGCAGTATGGGACTCTGTTCTGAAAATGGCTGGCAGTCAATGAGTTAAAGTAAGATTCTTACTGGAAACTGACCTCTGTGACTTTGGTCTGAGCCTCGCGCACCTCGTTCAGACCCACAAACTCCTCGTACCTCTCCCACCAGTAGTTCGCCGTGGCGGAGGCTGTCTGAGCCGACCTCTGACCCCACTGTCGCCCCACATCCCCCGCATACTGGGGGAGGAAAGAGACACACACATTGTCAGCGAGGTGGAAGTGATGGAAACAAACTAGGCTGTGGATGTGGACTCCAGCTTTTTTACACTTACAAACACACAAATACAGACTTCATGCATTCCTTGGACTCACTGCCTCGCTGTTACCTTTCCCCTTCCTTCCACCCCTCATCCCTCCCTCCCTATGTGTCCTTGATGTTGTGATTTGACTGTATCTGTGCTTTAGTGCAGTGTTTTTCAACCTTTTTTGAGCCAAGGTACAGTTTTTCATTGAAAAAATCTCGAGGCACACCACCAACCAAAAATGTCAAACAAATCTGTAGCCACCTATAGTAACACTATACTTATTCTTATTCTACTCTTATCTTATCTTAAGTGTCTTGAATAGGAATAAAAAAAACACAAAAATGTATTTTTATCATATTTCATATTTCTTCTTTCAAATTGTACTTAACATGTCTACTTCAATATGCAAAATTAAATACAAAATCTAGTCATAAGGAATTATTACATGATTACGCCACCAGTCACTAAAACAGCACAGACACTCAAAAATGGCCTATTATTTGCAGAAAATTAATTCCTTATCCCAAATTTTTTTTAGACCAATTAGGTGAAATAGGATGATTTTCTACGGCACACCTGACCATAACTCGCGGCACACTAGTGTACCGAGGTACGGTGGTTGAAAAACACTGCTTTAGTGTACTGAGGTTTTTTTTTTTTTTAATCACTGTTACGTCCCCTGTAGGGGGCGTGGCACTGGGTCTTTTTTTCCCCTCTTCCTGCAACCCCTTTCCCAATGTATTTTTTGTTCTGAAGAAAAATGGTGTGCCCTCAGTCTTCCCGAATTGGTGTGTCTATATGTTTTGTCTGTTTGATCTTGGTACGGGCTGTACTGGAAGTCAATTTCTCCCTGGAGATCAATAAAGTATATTCAATTCAAATTCAATTCAATTCAAAAGTCTTAAAAGTAATAGAGGGTATTTCACGTACCCGTAAGGCAGAGACAGTGCGCTCCTTCAGTATCTCAGCTCCCCCCTTTAGCTCCGGAGGTGAAGGGCCAGACGGGGGGGGCTCCCGCTGAACACTGTAGACCCGGAGGGGGGGGGTTCTGCCAGGCAGAATCAGACGACCTGAGCCGCGAGCCCAGAGGCAGATCTGGGCTCCTCTGTACCTGCCGCGAGAAAAAAATTGAATAAATCCTCATCACTGGGAGTTTTTTTTTACATGTACAGTCACCGCTAAGCCTCAGAGCTCTCCTTTCCACTTTGTGTGTCGGTCGTACCTCATCGAGAAGGGCAGCAGTCAGAGGTGGAAGATAAAAGACAGGAAACAGGACCCTGTGGGAGAAACAAGCCAAGAGACTTTAGTCAAGACTTTTAAATCACATTTATCACTGAATTTATTTAGAATATTTTGAGCCAAGTTATCTAAGAGTAAATACTGACATTGTCAGCGTGTGAATAAGGTGTTTTACTATAGTATATAATGCTATATTAAGACAAAACTACACATTTCTAAACTCCAAATTAATATAATCTTTCTGAAGGAGGAAAGTAGCGTCTATATTAAGCTTGACCAGAGTGAAAACAAAGGGCTTCTCAACTGGGATGAATTCAGGCAATTTTCATTCAAAAGTGACCCCTCAAATACCCAGCGTTTAACATACCAGATAAAGGTCAGACATGCAGCATCCTAAACTGAGTCAAATGAAGACTTTTTCACAACTTCACTGAAGTTAAAAAATCAACAAGATCAAAGGTCAACTAATAGCCCATAGTAGACTTTAAAGTTTAATTTAGAATTAAACTATATTTCTTAAATGTTATGTTCCTGTCAAAATAGTAATACATTAACATAAACCTGCTAACCGATATACAGTATCGACTTGCTTGATTTCTTATGACACCAATAGAAACAACAATCTGAGTCCAACATGAGTCTGAATCTTGTTTACACAACTGGTCTATGACTTTCAAACACTGCCTTTGCAACATTAGAAACCCACTCAAATGTAACTGATATAATACAATGCTGGAATGATCTGACAGCCTGGCTAAAGACGCTTATAATACTGTGTTATTTTAACTTAAATGGCTATTTTACCTCAAACATTAGCTGCTTCATTTCCAAATATGCACGTTGCTAACATAAACCGGCTAATTGACTTGTCATTGCTGAAAGAAAAACCTGCTAGTAAAATTATTCATAAAGATATCAAATTAATAATAATACCTGTATATTCCGGTCAGTGCATTTGGGTCCCTATAAAGGTGTTTGTTAAAGCTAACTAGTTATCATCTTGATGTCAAATTAAAAAGCTAGCAGCAAGTTCAGAGTTTTGATCAGGCACAGAACGGGGATTCTATTTCCGCTTCAGGGTTCTTCGGGGTCCTACCTGCGCGGATTACACAGACAGCCGGTTGTGTTCACAACTGAAAAACGTTTATTTTGTTGTCACTATCTAGCCGTAGTCAGATTGAAACCATGTCTGGCAGAGAAGGTAAGATACTAAGTGTTTTTTAAAGTCCTGCTAAGTCAAAGATTGATTTTTTGTAACGTAACAGAAGTCAGTGGCGCGTGCTGTTTAGCTAGTCAGTGCTACAAGCGGCACGAGCCCGTCAACGTCTTCATCTTTCACAAAACTCCGTTGTAGATTATCCTAATTTAAATAATTATTTGTTGCCTGGAAATATAGACGGAAGATATATGATGTCTCTGTATCGTGACTTCATGCTAATGATGTATTGCGTCATTCGGCTGTGAGATTTCGTCTAGAATTATTCTCTATTTGAAAAACAGTTATACATTTATTCTGTATACATCAAGCGGCGTGCTGTACGTCTGTACGCCATTTACGAAATAATGCAATGTTTCCAGTGGAGATGGAAACGAACCTTTTATTTGACTCAGCTTTTACGTTGACGTGAAATTAATGACTCGTTTATTTATCACAGGAGGCAAAAAGAAGCCACTCAAGGCCCCCAAAAAACAGAACAAGGACATGGATGACGTAGGTTTAATGTTTCTTTTATTGTACGGTTGTGTATTGTTGTTTTCGGGTTACTGTTAAAGATGTCTTGCTAACCCCACCCTAATCTACTCCACCCCTAACAACAGCTTCCAAGAATCACAAAATATGCTACAGAAACTAAACTTGTCCAAACTGGCTCGTTTTTTCCCTCCTTTTTTTGTCCCTGAATATCATTAATAGATAAATAATCAAGGACTAAAATCAGTGGGAAGGTGTGAGTATGGATAGTTTACCAGTTTCCTGTCTGCAGGAGGACATGGCCTTCAAACAGAAACAAAAGGAAGAACAGAAGGCCCTTGACGCTTTGAAGGCCAAAGCATCGGGGAAAGGACCTCTAGGTAAGGCAAAAAAACTTCTATTTACGATCCAGAAAATAATTCAGAGTTTGGCTGCTTTGGTTCAGCAATGAAGGCCTTTGTCTACCAGTTTTTTTTTCTGTGTGTGTGTGTTTTTTATCCCTGCTTCAAGCCTTCACAGTGACTCTATAGCCTTTTTTGATCAATTGTCACAGGTATTGGCACAATACTGTAAAACTAAACAGAATTGTTTTTCTCAAATTAGACCAGTAAAAGAAAAAATGATTACTTGGTTATTTGAAAATGTCATTGAGCCATGGAAGTACCAGATTTTTCCAGGTTTATTTCAGAAAGTCAGTGGTCCAGGTGGGCACAGTGCGGGCAGTAATGCCTGTAAACCAGAAAATCTCTGCTTTATTTCAACCAGTTAACCTTAAACCAGTATGAGTACATGCTGTGGTTATAAAATCAAGACTTTATTAGAGCAGAGCGACAGTCCAAAGATGCTCTGTGGGGTCCAGCTAGTGGTTTCCAATTATAGTTATAAACACTGTAGTTAACATGGTAAAATGACTTTCTCAGTAACAGTGAGACCAATTCAGTCTGTTTCAAAGGTTAAAAAAATACCACTTTTGCTTATAAAAGAGCCTGAAACAAATATTTCACTCCATATTCTCCACAAATGATCTTTTTGTTTCAGTAAAATTTGACCTGAATGAATGACCGGCCCTCCTTTAGTACAAATATGGCCCGTCCAACATTCCCATATCAGTCTCTACATTTCTTCTTTATTGTTTTATAAAAAAATTGTAACGTCACTCTGTTTTATTCTCTTTGCTTACACCTTCTTTAACCACCTTTATTAATTTTTTTTGTTCTCCACCAGGTGGCACCGGCATCAAGAAATCGGGGAAGAAGTAAAACATCTGTGTGGAAACGTGTGTCCACTAACGGCTTCAGTTCCTGTACGCTGAAGAACTTTGTTTATTTTTGCTCAGACGCAGAACGTGCTTCAGTCACCCAGCAATGAAACGGCCGAAGAAATTAAGCAACTTCTTTAGGAGGGTTAGCCCCAGCATAGCTCTCTAATCACCTTTCTTTCACTCATTCTTAATATTTTATTCAAAAGCTTCAAATCTGACAAAGAAATGAAAGTTTTCAGGTTCAGGAACGGAAAAACTTCCTCATACTCGCGTTCTTTTGTGTCCACGCTCGCACCGAAAACACAAATCAACCCACGGTCATTTTCTTTTGTTGTTGTAAAGAGGGGGACTACAATAAAGATTTTTTTGTAATTTCTATTTGGTGTTTTATTTATGTGCCACTTAGAATAAAATCAGAATTATATTCACCATGAAAACTATACCTCTATGGTTGAATTTAAATTAAAAAATGTATATATATATATATATATATATATCAGAAATACTTTATAATCCCAGAGGGAAATTATTTTTGTTAATCGCACCATAAATAAAACGGCAAATACATACATACGTGTCTACACATATATATATATATATATATATATATACAAAATTCCACATAGAATATAGATAAATATATACATAAATAACTATATGTATACATATAGGTAAAAATAAGTATATATATGTGTGTGTTTCATCCAACATTAACTCAATTCTCAAAGCTCTTATAAAAAAAGTGACTCAACAAACTAAAGACCAGGAAGAAATCGCTGTTTTTTAAAGAAACGTTTAATCCTAAAGTGCCAGCTTGTTGTCCAAATAGACAGGTCGGTCCATTTTAGGACCACACAGCTTAACACAAAGTTACAAAAGTTCCACTGCAGACACAAAGGGTCTTTCTTAGATATGTAGAAAAATATCCTTTAGACCTTATATTACATGGAGCCCAAGTTTAACACTCGTATCTTCAGACTGGCCGAACTGAAAAGGCACAAATTAGGAAATGTACAGAGAGCAGAAAAGCATTCAGTCGTCATATCAAAGAGAAGTTCTGTGCACTTTTTCTTTGGGAAGAAATTAAAAAAAATTAATCTGCTCTATTTTTGGCTAATATTAACCAGCACTAGAGGTTTGGCTCACTGACAAACAAGCATATTAGAAAAGTCATGACACAAGTGTACAAGTTTAGATTACAACCATTCAATCCTTATAAGTTACACATTGAAAAAACGTATTTTACTGTGTTTCAGCTAATAATGCCCCTCGGGTACAACAGTAAACAAAGAACAGCTGCTTTCCTGAAGTCCATAAACTACACACTGTAAAAAATCTGGTGGGTTCGGGTCTCCGTCGGCCTTTTTCGGGCGGATTCGCCCTCTTTTTTTTAAAAAATCACACGTCGTCTCCTCTTTTCCTCTTCTCCATCTTCATTCGCAGGACCTGGATCTCCAGGTTGAGCTTCTCCCTCTCCAGCAGCAGGTTTCCCCGTTTGAGCTCCAGCAGAGCCTCTTCACAGGCAGCAGCAGGCCCATCTGAGGGGGGGCAGAGGAGGGATCATTATTCTGCTGAGAACTCCTCCTAAAAACATGTCTTGGAGCAGGATTTTTATTTAAAAATGTGGTAAAGGAGGCAACCAGCAGAGAGTTGGGAATTGATTGTTCTCAGGGCTCCACACATGGCCGGTTTGAAATGTTTTGGATTACACAATGTCTGTTATAAGATGCTAAAAATGATCTGTCTTTTAACCCTTTAAAGCCTGATCCAAGAAAAATAGGAAGAATATTGGATTTTTTTCAGTCTGAAGTCTTTCTTTGGCCCCTCAACAACATATAAAGAAAAAAAACAGAAATTATGCGCGTGCAATAAGTCAAAAATATATTTTGGTGTAGTCTTCTACTGGCTGTTATCAGGTATATCTGAATGTGTACAACAGGGGTTTAAGCAAAGCTTTTACCACTGAATGATGCAAAAAGTCTCAGATCCAAAAGACTTTATAAAGCTTATGTATCAAATATGACACATTTGGCATTACAGGGTTAAAAAAAGAATTAACTGAGATGGAAATACTCATAATACTGTTGTAAGTGAATGGTGAGTGACAGGAAAAAGGAGAAAAAGCAGGAAAAACCTTCCTGCAAACGGTTAGTTTAGAGCCAAAACTGAGCCTCTGCAGCCTTAGGTCAATTTAGAGCAGATTCTAGTTCATTTTGTTATTATTTTACACATAAATTAAGCATGTGTGATGACGATATAAAGCTTAATTAACTCCAGTTATAACCAGACTGAAAGAAAGATTCTTTCTTTATTTTCTTTGTAGTGGCTGAAAGGTCAAAGGTCATCTTTGGGTCAGCTTTGATCTTCCAGATGCGTTTGAGTGCTTCTTTCTTTGTGTTTTGCAAAGGAAATAGCCTCATTTTAGCTTGTGTTTCTCCCCCTGTTCCTCCGTGTGTGTTTGTGTTGGGAATATCCCTTTAACCTTTAGTTAAAACGCCACTAGCTGAGAGTCAGACGCATTTTTTAAAACTAATTCTTCACCAGCCCAGCGGCGAGAATCAGCCAAACCGATTAAACATCGTCTGTGATGCGTTTAAATCCTAATTTACTCCCTGTGTGTTGGGAGTTTGAGGATGCCTCATGTGGTGCGTCTCACCGTACTGTTGCTCTGCTGCCCTCAGCTCCACCTCCACCGGGTAGTGGTCGCTCACGTTTAGGGTCTGAAACCACAGAAAACAACGTTCACCGACCCAGGAACCAGCAAGTCTGAACACAGAAACGGTTGGTTGTAATTACTCACTTTAGCACAGTATGCCATAACATGATCTATGTAAATTACTGATTGTTGTATTCCTTATAGAACCATAACTTTGTGTTAAAGACTTGTTTTATTTATCCACACTATATGTTATCACATTACATCAGCTCAACACACACAGTCTCCATTTTTACCACATTTCAGTGTTATCTGCATTAACTAGGACCTGGCCAGTTCATGTCAGGGTTAGGGTTATTAAGTAAGTGGCCAATAAGCGGTGTCCGGTCCTTTTTGAGAAAACAAACACCCATCACACACAGAGTTAAGGGCTCTTTGCTGACTGAGACCCAGAGAGAGGTTTTTGTCTGTACTTTTGTCTATAGTTTGCCTGTGACCCAATAAATGTCTATTTTATACTTTTGATCCACTCTGGTTTATTCTCAGGTTTCCAAATAAAGAATCGGGTTAACATTAGCCTGGATATTAACAAGTAGCTCTTGATTTTTTGGGGATAAAACTGGATATTTTTAGCACAGCGCCTCTGTTTTTCTGTTCTCTTCTGTTTCCTATTATCTGTTCTTAGTCCATAAATAGTTCTTAATTAATAAATCATTTCATACAAAAGCACAGTCGTGCAGTTATTAAAAATCCATCTTAATTCAATCTTTACTTTACCTGAATTCACCCGGTGCCTTCAGGTAACGTGGGACAGTTTTTGGTAAGTGCTCCGGTAGACTTACTTGCTCAAATGATGTTTCATTAAATCATTTTAGGCTTTGTTAACATTTTGTATTTGAATTCAGTGGTTTTATCTGTGAAGAGCCCAGCTGATATACTTTGCCTGGGACACAATAAATATCATTTTTATACTTTTGACCCATTCTGGTTTATTCTCAGGTTTCCAAGCTTCACCTCACCTGGGGCTTATCTTTAGTCAGATTGGCAAAAAATCTTCAATATTGACCTTTTTATGGGGCTGGTTTATGCACGGATGACTAAATAAATCCCGGTTTTAGTGTCCCAGCCTCTTTCTCCTGCTGATCCAATGCTTTTTATGCTGTTTTCCTGTGGTTAATTTGGATTTTAAAGGCCAAAGGAGGCTGAGGGAGACAGCAGACCTGCTCGTCGCTGAGTCTGTAGGCCGTCTGGAAGTTGAAGGGTTTGGCGGAGTCTGGAACCACGGCGTGAAGCATGTCGTCCCCGTAGACCACGATCCTGAACAGAAACCAGGTGTTTTTAAGCTTTTTTTGTTCTTAACACTCATGCTACAGGAAAAGCTCACATTTCAGAATTAATACAAGTCGAATGTGTATCAGACCAAACAAGAAAACCTCTTAATTTCTTCTAAATCTTTCCAAAAGCTGTTTAGAACAAACAAACAACCCAAAAAAATCTGTTATTCATGTGTTAAATCCCAAAATGAAGCAGCTCAAGGGTCATTTTCCAATCAGAATCAGCTTAAACTTCACCTCTCTGCTCGTTTCATGCACTTCTGGTAGTTTTTGGTGTATCTGAGGGTTTTATGTAGTTTTTATGGATTTGCTGTGTCCTTTTTATATTAGTTTTGCATCACTGTTTTCAGCTCATTAGGATTTCAAACCCAAGTCCCCAAATTTCAGCTAAATTCTGGGCTTCTCTGAAGTCAGAAAGGCATCAAGCAGAAAGTTCAACCACTAAAGCTATCCTTCCAAGTACAGACATAGAATTGGACAGCTAAATAAATGACTGATAATGTTCTTTACAATTTTTTTTATACTTTCCAGAAAAGAAAACACATTTAGAACAAGTACAATCATATTGCTGTGTTACAAATATAACTTGGGCTAAAGAGCCTTTGTGTATTAACCATTAAAAGGAACATATAGTTATTCTGGGGACAATAATCTGATCAAATAAAAAACCATTAAAAAAAAACCTTGGCGCTCAAACGTGAACAATTTAAATAAAACAACTAATTTCTTCCCATTCAAATGGTAAGGCAGTTATTTTAAAAAATAATACATTAAAAGAATATATTATTTCTAAATTACTTATTTAAATCTAAAATATCAATTATAAATCATTTTTAAAAAAAACAGACAAACAAATGGTAAAGCAGGTATCTAAAATAAATAAATAAATTAAAAATAAAAAAAGAATTTTAAAATAACATGAGAAATAATTTTAAAAAACCAGCAAAACAAATGGTAGAGCAGTTATTTAGAAAAAAAAAATTAAATAAATTGAAAAAAAAGATTAGATTTAAAAAGATTTTTAAAATAACATAAATAAACCCAAACCAAAGGGTAGAGCAGGTGGGTCTGGCCCTGTACCTGCGGGGGGGCTCACCTGTCGTAGGTGTGGTCGTTCCCGGTGCTGGCCGTGGTGTCCACCTCGTCCCCGATCAGCCAGTGGAAGCTCGGGTCGCTGCGGATGCGGATTCCCTTCATTTCCTTCTGGGAAACGTAGGCGCCGTCCGCGTTGAAGTCGCCCAGGATCATCACGTTCTGCAGCAGAGTTTTACATTTTATTTTTACTTTTTACACTCAAAGAGAAGCTCGTTAAGGATGAATTATGCATGTCAGGTTAATGAAAGACTCTTAATTCCCTTTAGCGGCGAATGCTGATTGGTTGTTTATCTCTGTGATGGAAAAATGACTTTATGTTAATAAGTTTTATTGAGGAACATTTTTCCTATATTGTATTATTTATTGATAATGATGCCATAATAGCTGTTTGTTTCTTATCTACACATCCTGGAATGATAGAAGTTACAAAATGATTTAAAATTCAACAAAGATTTGATTACAAATTTAAATAAAATGTTTTTTCCCTCTGGGATAAATAATTTTTTAATGGATTGGAGTGATATTCATGCAGAGGCATTCTTAGTATTCTTTTAAGCCCTTGTTTAAGGGGCAGATTCAGTCAATCTAAATGCAGATGTTTCATTTAAAAGCGGATTCATGACTTTGATCTGCCTTTTTTGTCGTCTGTAGTTGAACCGAAATCGATATTTCCTTTAGTTAATGGCCTCACAGAGTGTTTGAACGGTTCACTATTAAAATAACTTTAAGCATCTTTTCAAAAAGTGGATTTTGAAATGATTTCTCACAATTCTTTCTTACATTTGTGGTTCGACTTGAATTAGGTTTTTCGAATGCAAAAGGTTTGCATTTCTTTCATGTTCCTGTTCCCATTCGAAATCCATTCAATTTGTGGATCAAATATCATAGTAACTGAGCCCTGTAATCCTTCCCCTTGACAGTGAAAATCTAGTTGTGTTTAACTATCAACTATTCGTTTTCTTATATTTTGGATCAGTTCTTACTTTTACACTCTTTAAAACATTTTGTGCTCCATCCCGTTTGTATTGACTGATTTATACGATCATTTAACCCCAATTCAGAAGCAGGACTCTGTAGATACTACACCAGGAGCTCCTATTGTCTTTCCCCTTGGGGGAAATCATCATTTTGTCCCTCTGGGATTCGGTTTCTCTTTGGAAGATCGAGCCCGTTTATGAGGCGGGGCCCTTACGTCCGTTCTCCACTTCTTCTTGACGTGCAGGAAGACGTCGTAGAGCTCGTCCAGCTCCTTCTCAGAGTCCTCGGGTTTAGTGTGAACGGGAATCAGCACCAGGTCCTTCAGCACTGAAATGGACAAACAAGCAATTCAGTTCAGAACAGAAACAAGCTTCCAAAAGATACCATCTTCAGAACTACTGCAGATGATATGATGAACTGACCTGTGTATATACAGGACTGTCTCAGAAAATTAGAATATTGTGATAAAGTTGTGATAAAGAAAACTCAAAAATCCGATATTCTAATATTTTGAGGTTATTCGGGTTTCTTAAGCTGTAAGCCATAATCAGCGATATTAAAACAATAAAAGGCTTGCGATATTTCAGTTGATTTGTAATGAATCCAGAATGTATGACATTTCATGATTTTTAATTGCATTACAGAAAATAAAGAACTTTATCACAATATTCTAATTTTCTGAGACAGTCCTGTATGTTGTATATTTCTACTCTTGTTTATGTTCTTATTATTTCCTACTGTGATTATTATTATTTTTTTTTAAATGGTTTGTTCATAATGTAATGTAACTTTTTCATGTGAGGACCCCAGGAAGCCTAGTGGCCATTTATTTGGCAGCTAATGAGGATCCTAATAAAACTAAAACTAAACTAAATGAACTTTGAACATCTTTTTTCAAACTTAAAGCCTTTTCCTGGAAGCTCTGCATCCTATAATTATATTTAGCCTTTCTTTAACACCTCCCGAGTGAATCTTAACTGTAATAAAACAGTAATAACTAATACTGCACACATCTCAAACCCTCCCTCTCTTTTTTCCCCTTTTCCTCTCACCTGTGTTCAGGCACCTGAACCGGAGGATGTAGGGGTCCCTGGCGAAAACGTCCCCCGACTCTGTCCCCTCGTCATCGAACTGGTGGGAGCCCACCAGGTCCACCAGGTCGTCCCTGCACACCCAGAAACACGACCACAAATCAGAGTAAAAAGTCCAGAGTCTGTAAAAAGACGGTTCGGATCAAAGCTTGATGCTCCTCGGATGAACTGATTTATTTTGAGAACGTCCTAAAGATGTTTTGTGTCTAGTCCATAAGTCCAGGTTTGACATTCTGTTTTTCATTCGTTTTTCTTTTTTTCTTACCCCTTTAAAGCCTGATCCAAGAATAAAACAAAACAGAAAATTACTTTTTTTTTGTTTTAAGTCTTTATTTGGCCTTTTAACCTAATATGTAAAAAGAAAATACAAAAATACATTTTTAATATTAATAATTTATTACTATGCGATAAGTCAAGATTATTTTTTGTGTAGTCTTCTGCCCCCTGTTATCAGGTATATCTGATTGTGTACAATAGGATTTTTTTTACCATTAAATTATCCAAAAAGTCTCAGACGCAAAACATTTCGGAAACCGTATGAATCAAATATGATACATTAGGCATTACAGGGTTATTTGCAGGCTGGTGCAGAGCTTTTTGTTTTCAAAGCTCCAACACGCCTGATTCTGACTAAAGGGATCTTTAAATCCAAATCCGGTGTTTGATGATTCGGTTTGGATTTGGGGTGATTTGGGGTGACCTGCTGGTGGCCTCTCACCTGTACAGGAACATGAACTGCTCCTTGTAGCGCGTTCGGCCCAGACGGGAGCTGATCTTCAGCGTGTAGTGATGCTTCCTGTTGGACCTGAACACACAAATATGACAGATAACCATCAATTAATGAAGGAATTCAGGGATTTCTGTCCTTCTCCTCCATTAAAACCGGTGATCAGATCAAAAAGCGCCGACATACAGTACTTCAGCTTTCCAACACACTGACTTTAAATGAGCACAAATCCTTTGGCACAAAGTTATTAAAGAAGCTTTCATTTAAACTTTAACTCGAAAAACATGTTCTAAATCCTAAGTTATTGTGCTCACAACAGGCATGTCGTTAGGTTGAATTAACATAGGTCGGATCCACTCACATAAGCAGTCATAAACAGCATTTAAAAACATGAATCTGCTCCTTTAAATTCCACAAAGGTTAATTATTTTTCACATTTCCCAAAAGCCACCCGATGTCTGAGGTAATTTTTAAACGAGAGGGATAAACTGGCTTCTTAAGTATTGATCCAATCCATGATTTTATCCTACATCAGATTAGATTCTATATTTTAGGGAGGCCTAAGAAGTCCCACATTGTAGAAAATGCCAGTTTTAGGGCAAAGTTTCTGCTGCAGAAGCTGGAAACATCTGATAAATACCAACCGGTGAACGTAAGCGGATGTTAACTCGCTTTTAATTGCTTTAACAACCAAAAAAAGTCAGTTACTGACTTGTTGAGTGTTTCCATGAAGACTTTCACCGACTCCCCGCTGATATCCACCACCTCCAGGATCACAATGATGTCATATCGAGACACAATCTGTCAGAGGGGAAGAGGAAAATCTGAGTTTACCCACAACCAAAGATCCGGAGACTTTAAACTATTTACACATCAAAAAATCAAAATTAAAATCCTGAAAAAAGGGCCATCTTAAAAGAAAACAGTTGACTTACCATGTCATATTAAACTGAACATTTTACCATTTAATATTGTTGCTGTTAAAGTTTCATTATTAGAGGATTATGGTCATTCATTTGGTTTATGATGCCCAAGTAAAGTTAAAATGTTTTGATATGCAGAAATGACAATCATCATACTACAAAAATGGCCCAAAAAAGAGTAAGGACCTTCATTCTGCTTTTTAAAACTCTGGCTTTTGTCTGATGACACTGTAAATATAAACTGAGATTAGATGTTTACCTTCACCAGGATTTTCAGGACGTCCGGGTCAGACACTTTGTTTTTCCCAAACTTCTGGACGTTGAAGGCGGCGATTTTCATGGCGGCTGCAGAAAAGTCCAGAGAAAGAAGCAAAATGGGGTTTTTAGCTCTTTCTGAAGTCGTCCCCCGGACGTGCACAGACCTGTAGGTAAGCAGCCTTTATTAAGATTTATTAGCCTGTGTCCGGAAGGCTGACAGCTTTTTTTTTTTTTTAAATCAGTTCCCTTGAGGCACATGTCAGAAATCAGATTACAACTAAACTCTTTTGTTCGCCTCTTGTTGTTTGTACAGATTCCAGGAGAAAAAGCCCATCTTTACAAGGTGTTACAAGCAGGTAAATACAACCTCAGATGGAAAAAGATACATGATTTACTCCACTCTCTCTTGTTATTGAATCAAAACTAACACGCCTGATCGAACAATAACTTAATGTGATGTTTTTTTATATCTTATGTTATTGTTCTGTCACATCGTTTTCAATGGATTTGATCCCCCTTTTCCCCACCAATAACTTAATTTATTTTCAACCACTCAGGTTTTGTTTTGCTGCTGTGTGTGTCCTGATTTTTTAAAAGTATTTTATATATCTTTAGGTGATGAATTATTTAATAGATTCCCATTTCTTTAGATGACAACACAAACCTCTTATTTATTAGTCATGGGGTTCTTTAATTAGGACTAATGAGTTACTAATAACTAGTAAGCATTAGTTTACTGTTTATGTTTGAAAGTAAATTCACCAAATGAGTTTGCGGCTTTGTAAATTCCTTCCACACAGCAGATAGGGCGGACATGTCCCGACCGGTTTGTTTTGGTTATTATAAGGTCCCTAATTCCTCCAAACTCCTCCTGAGGCAACAGGCTCTGCCACAGGTGACAGACTGCTCTGTGGATCGGTCTGAAGCACAAAAACGCCCATTTAGCTGTCAGACTTTGTTCAAATCCATCATCTGCTCACCACCCGGAGGGAAGCAAACAAAAAACGGACAAATCGCATCTCAAAAAGGTCCCCCTCTGTCCCCCCGACAACCAGATCCGAAAAACACTTCAGGCCTCATCTCTGGCATTTAAAACATTTTTTTTTAAAAACCTTTTTACCTCTTTATTTTACATTCAAATTACATATATGTATGTAAATTATGTTAGCTTTTTATGTTTATTTTTACCTGTGGCAACTTCGGTTATTTTAAATGTGCTCTATAAATAAAATTTAACTTGACTTGGATTGTTTTGCCACTCAGCCCCCAATTAGGAAGCAGAAGCGTTTTGGATTTATTCATTTAGATCTAAATAACCTGAACATTTCAGTCCCAACCTCTAGATCAAACATACAGTTTACAGTTCGGCTTAATTTGCTATTGATAAACCTAAAAAAGTCTGATTACTACTCTAAGTTTCGAAGAAAATGAGGAAAGTCCAGTCTTACATTTACAGTATATTTAGTGTGTTTCCCTCTTTTCGAAATATATCTCCATATGTTATAATGGATTTGATTGTTATTCGGTTTAAAATCCTGGATACTTGATATTCGACCGGTTAAACTAGTCTAATCGAGATGGAATCTCCTTGTAACGTAGTTACTTTAGCACGAGTTTGTTATTGTTCTGATCACTAATTCTCCTGTGGTTTCAGGTCCGGCCCTTCCCTGTCACCTGCTGTTCATTAGCTCATTTGGTCTTCAGTATTTAAACCACTCCATTCCCACTTTGTCCAGATTGTCTTGTGTGTTTTTTCGTGCCAAACTTTCCCGCATTTCCCTGTTGTGCCTTTTCCCTTCTCAGACTTTGGGACTTTCGGATTTGTTTGCCTGTACGACTGATCTCCTAGTTTGGACCCTGCCTGTTTTTTGGAAGTAAACTGATTTTCCCTCACTGATTCTTGGTCGTGCTTTTGGGTTTTCTGTTGCCTGGACCAGTGGTCGTGAGACTACTGATCCCTGGATCTCATGTTTGTGTATAAAGGAGGAGCAGCTGATTGTTTCCCCCGCCTGGTCACCTTTAGGGGCGGGGGGGGTTTACGCACAGGTAGCTCTCTGGGCGTGTTTTTTTGTGTGGAGGCGGTCCAAACCAGTTCCCGCTTTGATTGGCAGGCCCCGCGGTGGAAAACATCCACAGGAGGCCAACATCAACACCCGGCGATGGGTAAACAGCCATCAGGAGTCGGGTGGTTCCAGGGGTTTGGCGTTCCCAATCCCGCTTTATTTCCTGGCATTTACGAGCCCTCCCGTTCGGTTTTATTAGCTCTACTACAGATAGTAAAATGCTGAAGACCAGCAGCCAAACGCGTCCTCCTGGGATATGGAAATGAAGGCTGTAAAGTGCTCCTGCCCAGGTTCTCCTGGGAGGGGGGGGGGGGGACTTTTTCTTGTGAATTTCAGCAGAAACGTTCCGGTCTGTTGAGCAGAGGGCTGCAGCTCTGTTGGGAAACCAGAGCGGCTGCGTGTGTGAGCTTGCGCGGGCTCTCTGGTGGCACTTTTTCCACTGAAAACAGCCAAAAACGCCGTGACTGAATAATTCCTCAATGACAGAAAAGGGCTTCTTTAAAGGAGAAGCTCTTACAGACCAGTCGGGGGGAAAACAGCCTGCTCAGCCAGCCAGGATAGTTTATAAAGTCTTATTCTTTCATTTATCTATCCATTTATTGATTTATTTTTATTTATTTTCTGAAGTTTTATTCTTTAATGATATGTCTCCTTCGAAAAATACCAAAAAGCCTTCAATGTGTGCTTGTTGACAGGTCGTAAATGAACTGTCTGTAAAGAGAAAATTCGTGTGAATAAACATCTTTATATAAATGTTTCTTTTCCACAGGGAAAAGCGACTTATCGCTTATTTAGATGTCTGACTTCCTGTCGCTGGGGAAAGAAACAGCCGGACATGCAACACAACACAGGAGTGACTTTGGTTCTGAGCCCCTTTAGTTATTCTGGTCTTTTATGCCTTCAAGCATCTGCTTTTGTGAACTTATTTAAAGCCAAAAGCACCATCAAAACAGTCAGATTACATCCACAGGAGTACTTCAAGTTGATAAAAAGCTCTTTGCCTGTCCTGAAACCCTCTTCTTTAATCACATCAGAAACTCAGATTCAGATAAAAGATTAACTGCCTCTGTGTTATTCTGATTAAAACCAAAATCGTCATCTTTTCAGCTTAAATGAGAGGTTCCTCTCTCACGTTTTGGAGATTGAAATTGTCCTTTTCTGACAAATGCACCTCCCATCTTTTGTTTTTCTTTAAACCAAATTCAATTACTTGTCTGTAAATGCCTAAAATTTAGAAGGCATTTGGCTTCAGCCGTCTTGGGGAAGGAAATCTGGGCAAAGCTTTAGTGATATCTTCACTTTTGTTGAAAGAAAACCTTCTGAAAGCAGGTGCACATTTCTATCAATTGTATTGATTTTGTCTTAATGTGATTTTAATGCAACTGTCTTTATCTTTTATCTTAATTGTCAATACATTGTTTTAAAGTTTGGCTTCAAGCTGGTTTATATTGAGGTTTTTTTTCATCATTAGGCTGATTTATAAAGCATTGTGTTAGTATTTTTGTTCACTGTAAGTGGTTGCTTATTCAATTATTGATCAAAGACAGAAACAATTGTAAAAATATCAACTCTTTTGTAATAATCCTAAAAAATCCATAAAGTACTCCATAAAAAATGTTAAATTATTCTTCTAAAAAGTCATGAATTGTAAGTAATCAATCAAAAATCTAAACATTCTCATATGTTTTTCCGTTCACTTGCATGATTAAAATGCCACTAACAGACACACCGGAGCATTATTTCCATCTGTTTTCTTTTGTGCACATCAGAAGTTACAAAACTTTAGTTTGTGTTAAAAGAATCCTTATTTCTCTGTGTTTTTCATTCGATCGCCTCCAGAATGGATTTTATTCGAGCACACTCCCTGATATGGCTTCATGGAGGTGTAACAGACAGGGTTTATCTCACTGGTTTTGTTTAATGATTAGCTCCGGTGTGGGCCCATGCTGTTGTGTTTTAGGTTCAAATCTCTTTTTGGGGGGAGGGGGGGGCTTTTTAACTGTTTCCAGGTGAGTCTGAACTAGCTACAGGTGTGAATGTGTAATTCCTCTGTGGTCCAGAGAGGAATTTACCCCCAATTTATCACCATCATCCCCCCCTCCAACAACCTGAACACAGAAAACCAGCTTCAGAAGCTCTTTTTTGGCTTCTGAACGCTTAAATTTGCGTGAGAACTCCTTTTTATTCCAGAGGGTTTAAACACGCTGGGTCACAGGTTAGGAGTGGACAGGCCTCACAGAAAATAAGGGCGGTAAAAGCTGCATTACCAGTTCAGCCACTAACCAGGGCTGCAAGTACTACTGTTAAACCACTAATGCTGTCCCATCTGTGAGGGCAGTTAGTATGGCCATGTTTAAAATCATTTTTCAAATTATTGTATTCGTCAAGATGTCATTTTTCCCCTTTTTAATATGGCGGCTTTGTATTTAATTGTTAACTTTACAATTTGGGTAAAGCTTACTTAAGTGTCCTACACATACAGAAATGTGATACTTAAAAATATCTTCTTAAGGATTAACCATGAAGTCATTTAATTTCCTCACTATCTTATGTACATGTGAATAAAGGCCTTCTTCTAGCCCAGAAATTTCAATTTTCTTCAGTTTGCAGGATGCAAATGAGGTCGTTTTCAACCTTTTTACTTGTCAAAGAAGTACATTTACCAGAAATGATCACATTGCAGACTGTTCTGAACTTTTCCTCTGATGGGGACTGACCCACATTTTAGGTGAGAAACATTTTGTGTGAGTAATGCCATCAATTAAGCTTAACCAAGTTTGTTTCAATGAGCTGAAGGATGCTCAGAATCTGCGTGTAAAACTACAAGTTCCTCCACGCTCAGTTTCAGGTCTGTTCCTGAGAGTAAGAGCCTCTTTCAGCTTTGTTTTCTTTAGGCTCTCCGACAGGCGTGCCGTTTCTCGGGCATCCAGCTTATTGTGAGTAGAAGAAAAAAAAAAAAAAAACAGACAAAGGACTCACCTGGTGGAAGGGAATCCCAGGACTTTAGACCAGATGTGCCGAGTCAAAGCCTCAACCTGACGAAATGAAGGAAACGTATCAGTCACCAACCAGAAGAAAACACTCTACGAAGGGGGGGGGATGAACACCAGCAGTTTGATTGGTTCAAAGCCAACCAATGGCAGTTGGACAAAGACAAAGACAGAAAAAACAAAAGAAATAACCCGCCCTGCTGGTGGATTCCTGCAGTCTAACCTGCTGAGGGGCCTGTGGCTCTGGCTGGGTGCTCTGAACCCAGACGGGAAGGGAGTCAGGTTAGCGTGAGACAGGGCGAGTCTGTAGCAGGAAGTCCCCGAAGATCTGACACCCAAAGTGAACCCGCAGAGAAACCAACAGGAAGTGGTTTACGGCCCAGACACAGCAGCCTCGTCTGGGTGGAATCTGGTCTTACAGTGGGGGAAATAAGTATTTGACCCCTTGCTGATTTTGCAGGTTTGCCCACTTACAAAGAATGCTTATTTTTCCTCATCAGATGGTTATCAATTTTTATAAATTCATATGATGTGATTTTCTGGAATTTTCTTTGGGATTCTGTCTTTCACTGTTAGAATGTACATATGATTAAAGTTATAGATCGTTGCATTCTTTGTAAGTGGGCAAACCTGCAAAATCATTGAGGGGTCAAATACTTATTTCCCCCACTGTGTGTGTGGAGACACAGCACTAACTTCTTTGTTTTAATCGTCCCCGTTTGGGTTTGTTTGCACTCTGACTCTGGCCTTGACTTGGATGAGAATTTGTTTGTTGGTTTGTTTGAATGCATCGTGACCAGACAGAAGCCCAAATAAACGCTTCCTCATAAGCCAACCCAATCTAATCCGAATCATTTGAAAACTCAGCCAGACTCTTCTTCTCTGGTTGTCAGAGAAGAAGGCGGTTAGGGCATCAAGCAATCTCTGCTTTTTGTCAGGACGAGCTCAAGACACGACTCAAGAGCAGAACTCTGCAAAAACGAGGACTTTTTATTAAACAAGGACGCACTCACAGGGAACGGAAGCAATGGCCATGAATAAAAAAAATGATAAACTCTCATATGAGAAGAACAAAACTATGGACAAAGTGTAAAATATTCCTCAAAAACAAGGATGGAAAACTATGAAAGTGCAAAATAATGATCACTCTTACCAGGAAAAACGTGGTGACTCAAGACAAGGAATTGTATGGCAGGTTAAGCTCAGTATCAAAGGTTGGTAGGACGAAACCCACTGGCACCAGACGAGGGGAACACAGACTGTTTAACACATGAAGGAACCCCAGGTGAACACAATGGGTGACAATCAGACCGGTGACACACAAGGAAGTGCACCTGAAAACCAGAGGGGATGTGGGTTTCAAAATAAAACAGGAAATGACACAACAAAGATATGACAAAACACCAAAAAAAAAGACCCAGGCGTGACACTTTTTGGCTCCATCTAAAGGAAAATCCTGTGTAACAAGGCCAGTTGCCCATTCATGGTCATTTAACACTCCACCACTTTTGTCTGTCACTGATTAGGATCTCTTTACGATAATGAAAAAGTGGAGATTAACCCACCTGAACAGTCTCTACAACTTGTTTTAGGTATTTGAAGCCAAGACAACCTAACTCAACCATTTATGGAAAAGAGGCCTTCATTCTAATGATTATGGTTGTTTTTTATCTCTTAACAGCTCAGATTTTTTCCACTTTGCATTTCTTAATCAGGATTATGTCATCAAGATGAACATCACAATGCTCTTTCCCGGGCAGATTTTCTGATTATGGATTTTAATCACTTTCCCCATGATGTGGGAAACACTGTTAAACACTAATTGCGCCAAAAAGTGGCAGAAGTGTAACCCTCACATGTCCAAATCCCAGAATCCTTTGCAAAATGGAGGGCATGCTAATTGCCAGCCGTGGCCAGCTGCTCCCAGAAATGTCCATGACTTATTTTTTGTTAATTGTGATTACTTTCAGTGACCAGGCCAGGAAAGATTAAACACAACCAGAAAGCGGGAGGCAAACAGTGAGCCGGGACTTCTGTTATCTCAAATTCCAGCTAAACCGTGAATCTAAATCACAAATAAAACGGGGCGTAGGCTGGAAAATAACACAGACAACACACGGCAAGCTGTGATTTCCTCAAAAAACGTTCAACCAACCTCTAATTTTCATTTCTGAGCTACCTGCACAAGACTAAATACCTGTCTGAAATAGTCTGGGCCACGACAAGGTAAATATCTGTGGGGGTTTTTACAGAACTCCCCCAGGAGGAACGCGGGGTGGTATAAAAAAAAAACGCTGAGTCAGCTATGTCAAGAAATATGGAGCAAGCACAGACTAAATGGCAATGTTACAAATGGGAAATGAACTGGGAAATTAGATAGAATTAGAATTGATGAGGCTGAGGACATTTCTTAAGAAAATGAAGAGGATTCCAGCCCCTCTGTAGTCAGCTCTGTGACTTTGTGTGACCGGAAACTGGACAGAAATGATTCTCAGAGAAAGAACATGTTCATGAAATCTGCAGCTCGAACAATCAAAGATGGAAACAGGTTTAAATCCATCGATTTCCGATCTAAATCAAATTTTGGAAGCCGGAAAGACGTCCTGTTTAATGCCCCCTACTTTTCTTACCTTTCCTCAGGTGGCTGGATGCTTTCCTGTTTTGTTTGTCCAACTTTTATTAAAGAATAATAAACAAACAGTGAACATACATATGAACAATGTTTGACAATCAAGCATTTAAGGACTGAATTTTGAGTGTTGTCTTCACTGAATGAAGACAGAAGTAAAATAAATGGCCTTAAACTATAGTTATGTCTTGTCATTTCTTTCTATCTATCTATCTATCTATCTATCTATCTATCTATCTATCTATCTATAAAACATGATGTGTTTTTTTTTGTGTCACGCTCTAATTAATTTCCTCCCCATCCCACCTCACAAATGTTCGGTATGTAGCTTTCCGTGTGCCGCGACACAAACGGCCTGCATGATGAAACTTGTGTTGTTTTCTTTTGCTCTTCCCATTAGAGACGTGTTGACACGATGAGTCACTCAGACTCCGTTCGGCGCCCTTTAAAGTGAAACCGAAACGGGTCAAACGAACCTCCCCAAAGGACGCACACGGGGGGAGACAAAAACTCTGAGGTATTTACTCCCGGGGTTTTTCTCTGTGGCTAAATCAAAAGCTGGAGTGACTGGAGAAGGGCATCAACGAGTGTCCCCTTCTGTTAACCCGATTCTTTAGTTGGAAAACTGAGAATAAACCAGAGCAGACCAAAAGTACAAAAATAACATTTATTGGACACAGTTAAGTGTATCAGCTGGGCTCTAACAGACAAAAACCTCTCTCTGGATCTCAGTGGGCAAAGAGCCCTGAGATCTGGGTGATGGGCATTATCTCCTGGACACAACCAAGTCCTATTGGCCAGTTACCTCTGGGCATGAACAGGCCAGGTCCTAATTCATGCAGATGACAGGAATGTGGTTACAAACGGTGTGTGTTTGTCTTGGTAGTCACTCCTACCAAGTGATCTGCTTCTCCTTCACCAAATACATCCTCTAACAGTTGAGATTAGCAGCTTTTTGTTGGTAGGGTTGGTGGAAATGTCGGCCTGTCTGTGCATTGCTGCTCAGTCTTGATTTAGGAGGCCGTTTGGCAGCTCCTGGATTAATTATTATTATTATCGCATAGAAATAAAACTTTATTCTTATGAATGTTCACAGACGCAGAGATGCTGGTCGTTTTCTCCTGTTTATTTAGCCTAGGAAGGTAAGAGTTTGTCTTTTTATTACTGTTTGTGTTGGGGTTATATCCCTTCTTGTTTTTAGATGGATAGGTTTGGTTTGTTATGTTGGCTGAGGTTCACAGGTTTCTAAAACACTGGGATAAAGGAGGTTTGGTCACTTTTTACGTTGTGTTACCCCTAAATTGGACATAACTAAATGTTCCACTTCAGCTCTGTTTCATGGTCTTCAGATGATTGGATCCTCGTGTCCATTTCCAAGCTGTGTCTTATGCTCATTGGTCTGTTAATAATGGGATGTTGTGGTGTATTTTTTATTACAGTTATTGACCACATGAGGCCAGCAAGACTGTTTTTTTGACAGATGTTCTCTGAAATATGAAATGTCCTAAATTTCCGTTTTTGCGGTGAGATTTAACCATGGTGCCTTTAACTGTTTTTATTTTCATTGCTGCTCTTATTTAAGCAACAAATGCATTAAAAGTTGGATTTTTATGTTTTGTGTGTTTCTCTTATTTTAAAGCAATGAAGTTGGGCCATCAGTTTCAACTCATGCTAAACTAGTTCAACTGTGAAAAGTAACATGAAATTCTCTAAATGGTTGAACGTACCAAAAACCAGTTCCACAAATAGAGATTTTAGAGCTGATTTATCCAAACTAGCAGTAAAATCAAGCAAGATAATAAACTTAATTCAAAATGTCAAGGATCTTACAGTAGATAATTAAGGATTATCTTAAAGGTAAAAACAGTCAAATTGATCAAATACTATAATCAAACTGTTTCAGTGTCAGTCTCTGGATATTTGTAAGGGAGGAGTTACGGACAGATGTGTGGAATAAACTAATATTCTTCTCATCAGACCACAGGTTTCATTTCCTTTCTAATTCTCTACCGTGTGCGCATCTGATTAAGTCAGCAAGTCTAGTCCAGTCTAGTGAGAAGGAAATCCTGTGCTTTCATTTCAAGTCCACACCTCAAGAGACTCCGGTGGTGAGTAGGACCGTCTCGCTTCATTTAATTCCACATTATCGCAATGACCGAGAACTTTCATTATTTATCGTATTGGTTTGTAGAACAACAAAAGTGAAGTGTTGCAGATTATTTTCGCGGTTTATCTGCAGCCCATTTGCAAGTTGTTTGTAAAATAAATTTATTTATGGAAAATACTACAAAATGACTGTTGGAACAACCAGTTCAGAGTAGAATAATTCGGTGATAATAGACCTGTTTGCAAAAGTTTGATGCAGGAAGTTCTGGGCTGGGTTTTGAGCTTAAATCTTTTTCTTTTTGAGGTAGAAAAAACATAATCTAATAATGTAATTTATGAATTTCTCTTAAACGTACATTAATCAGAATAAAGTAAGTTCATAGAAAATCCACAGAAAAATATGAACATGTGATCTGTGTTAAAATAGTTAAATACAAAGAACAAATATTTTCACTAGCCTACACAGTTGTGATGTTTTTTATTGTGTTTATCCCTACTGTCATCACCAGCCGTTAGACCATGGATGGTTATTTTTCTGGCCTGGTTTTGGCGGTGGGCGTGGCCTCGCTGCTGTCCTCAGTCCGGTGCGATGTGAACTGCAAAGGGGCCGAGGGCCACTTAGGCCTGCCCGGAGGCCCCGGGAGAGACGGGTGGCCCGGAGAAAAGGGACAGAAAGGAGAGCCTGGTAACGCCTTCCTTCATATGCAAATTCATATTCAAACTGTTCTTTCAATAAACCTGCTCCACACCAACGAATAAACAAATGATAATACCAGATAATAATCACCTGGGAAGAAGTGTTTGAAGGCCCTTTTAACCCTATAATAACAAATGCATCATATTTGATACATACGGTTTCTGAAGCCTTTTGGATCTGAGACTTTTTGCATCATTCAGTGGTAAAAGCTTTGCTCAAACCCCTGTTGTACACATTCAGATAAACCTGATAACAGCCAGTAGAAGACTACACCAAGATATATTTTTGACTTATTGCACGCTAATTTGATCAAAATAATTTCTGTTTTTGTTTCCTTCATATGTTGTTGAGGGGCCAAACAAAGACTTCAGACTAAAAAAAATCCAATATTCTTCCTATTTTTCTTGGATCAGGCTTTAAAGGGTTAAAAAGCCCCGTGGCCGTTGGTATAAAGGACCTCCCGAATCTCTCAGTCCTGCAGCCTTTTTTGCAGCCACGTCGTACCTTGTTGGTCTAATCTTTGACGTTTTTGTTTCCAGCCCAAAAGCCCGACGGTCCGGTGGACCAGAGACAGCTGCTGAAGCTGAAGGGGGAGATGGGGAGCCAAGGGGCCCAGGGGCCCACCGGGCCCAAAGGGTACCACGGGACGGTGGGAGTGGCGGGTTTGACCGGAGCGCCGGGTCCCAAGGGCCCAGACGGGAAAAGCACCAGCCTCGGTTAGCTTTCAGAACCTTTCAGTCTCTTAACTCATTGACTGCCAGCCATTTTCAGAACAGAGTCCCATACTGCCAGAGTTTTTTGAGCATTTTGACTGATTTTTCAAGAGCCACAGAATAGTTTGTGCTATGACTATGTAAACACCGAACACACCAAAAGAAAGAGTAGACTCTCTTCTTTCATCAGGAAAAAAAAAATTTCTACCTTATTCCGTTCTTCCTCGACTTGCATCTCACCGGCGACATTTTTCGCATTGCGAGCCGTTACCTTTTTCTTATTTGCCTACAGTCTATGCTCATCTCCCATCAAAAGTGGCACTGCCACCTAGAGGGTCAATTTGTTACTACATACTCTGTCTAGAAGCCGATATTTACGGACAAGCTTTAGCAGATCGTCCCCCAGCCACTCGCGTTGAAAAACATAAAAGACGTCTATAGACGTCTTTGGCAGCCAATGAGTTAATAATCCTGACAAAGGAAATCAGATATCTGCCAGAGTTTATAGAGATTCACCCGAGTTTACAGGGACTAGAGCCCGAACCCTTCACCTGGTCACAAATACCTAAACGAAATGCCAAATGTATCATATTTGATACGGTTTCAGAAGTCTTTTGGATCTGAGACTTTTTGCATCATTCAATGGTAAAAGCTTTGCTCAAACCCCTGTTGTACACACTCAGATATACCTGATAACAGCCAGTAGAAGACTACACAAAAATATATTTTTGACTTATTGCACGCTAATTTGATCAAAATAATTTCTGTTTTTTTTCTTCATATGTTGTTGAGGGGCCAAAGAAAGACTTCAGCCTAAAAAAATCCAATATTCTTCCTATTTTTCTTAGATCAGGCTTTAAAGGATTAAATGACGGTCTGAGAACAGGAGGGGAGAGGAAGTCTGGGCTTCCCTCCTGAACCTGCTGTGTTTTCCCTTTGTGATGCGTTCATGGTCTGACCGTTGCTCTGTTTATTCCAGCCGGGGCGGCCTCCGGCTCTCAGACACTCGCAGCCTTCTCCGCCATCAGGACCGACAGCAACTACCCTCATTTTGCCCAGGTTCAGTCCACTGCCCACCACACGGTTCTGTGTCTCACCTCTCTCAATATCGCAAAAATTTAACGTACGGTAAAAGTCCTGAGCATCATTAGTCGTGTCACAATGTTCCCTACTGGGGATCTGCAAATGTCTTTTCATAGATGTCAATATTTAGCTTTTCCAACCAACAGCAACCGATCAAACTGATGATGTAAAAATAATTCATTTAACAACAATAAGATAAGAAAAGACAAGCTAAGATGAGATAAGATTGGATAAGATCATCTAAAAATAAGATGCAAAAACTGAAACTGAAAAATATTTGAAGAGCATGAAGACATTATAAACACACACACAACGCACTGGTATGTTGTATTGTATATGTATACAGTATATATGTATAACACACACACACACACACAGCTATACTTGCTGTGGGTTCATCCATGTTTGTTTCTGGTTGTTTCAGAAAGTGAAGTACCAGGAAACCGTGGTCAGCAATCCAAACTTCGACCAGGCCACAGGTGAATTCACCTGCAGTACGCCTGGCTATTACTACTTCAACTTCCACTCCGTTGCCAAGGTAACGAACCCCTTCAGCGTGCACGCCGGGCCTCTGAACATGCTGAAGGACCCACACGCTGCCCTGGTGTGTGTTTGCAGGTCAGCATGTGCCTGGCCATAGGCAGCGAGGCCCTGAGGAGACCTCTGGTGTTCTGCGATTTTAACCGGGCGCGGCTCTACGACCAGGTGAGCGTCCACGAGGATCCAGGTGATGAATAAAGATACCCAGAATGCTGCTGCTAGAGGTCTGACCAGAACCAGGAAATACGACCACATCACTCCAGTGCTCAAGTCTCTCCAGAGGCTTCCTGTCCCTAAGAGAATTATCCACCACTTATTTTGACGTGTATATACAGTGAGTCCAAGAAGTATTTGATCCCTTGCTGATTTTCTTCGTTTGCCCACTAATAAAGATGTGATCATTCTGCACGTTTAATGGTAGATGTATTCTAACATGGAGAGACAGAATATCACAAAGAAAATCCTGAAAAAAAATCTAAGGAATGTATATTAATTAATTTCTATTTCATTGAGGGAAATAAGTATTTGATCCCTCAGTATGCATTAGGAGCCGAAGGGAAATTAGATCGTACTCTGGGACCGATCGATTAAAGAAATTGTTTTTGTGTTTACGATCGTCAGTTATTGTTGTTGTTGTTGTTGTTGTTGCTGTCGTTGTCCTTATGGTGTTGATTATTTTTCTTTTCTTGTTTTTATGCTTTTAAATTCTCTGCGAAGCACTTTGAATTGTCTTGTACACAAAATGTGCTATACAGATAAACTTGCCTTGCCTTACCAAAGATGGAGGTAACCTCCCTCCTCTGGTTTCAGGTGCTGTCCGGGGGGGCCGTGCTGCAGCTGGCCGCGGGGGAAAAGGTGTGGCTGGAGTCTGTGAACGCGGGTCAGGTGGGCCAGGACTCATCGGACACCCGGGAGAAGAGGGTCATCTTCAACGGGTTCCTGCTCTTCTCAAACCCCGAGTAGAGCTCAGCTCCATGCTCACAGATCCACGCCCCAAAGGACCCAATATCTGTACGTTTGGAGTCAGTGGACCGATTTCCTGACCTCTGACCCCTGTAAACGGTCACTGAACGTCCACTCTGGATTAAAAATATTAACCTTGATTCACCAGGATATCTCAGCTGTCATTTCTTTGGTTCTAGCTTCCACTTTCTCAATTTTTTTTCAATGTCAGTGTTTTTGTGTCATTTCTGGACAAAGCTGAATTTTGAAGAATCTCCTCTTGGGCTTGTGGTCAGATTTTATTTTATTAAATAGAAACTTTATTAAAGCCAGATCCAATAAAATATACATAGAAATAATTAATTTTTGGTTTGAAGTCTTTATTTGGCCCTTTTAAAACATATGAAAAATTGCTCAATATTTTTATATCATTAATCATGTATTACAAGTCAAAATTATGGTCTTGTGGTTTTCTGGCCGCTGTTACCAGGAAGTTTTTACTTGTAAATGATGTAAAAGTTCTCGGAGGCAGAAATATTTCAGAAAGCATACATAATAAATATGACACATGTGGCTTTATAGGGTGAAGTTAAAAAAAGAATTATGCTGACACTGGAAATTCATTTATGGACTGCAAAAAAACTTTAAATGACAAAAAAAAACTTTAAATGATAATTTACACTAAATGAATGAATTTCCCAAGAAATCAATCACGTTTTTCCAGTTTTTAAATTTGGTTTAATATTTGACATGAAATCAAATTAATCTCTTTATATGCTGATTTGTTGTTTCTGTATTTTTTTTATTCCTATTTTTTATGCTTTTAAAGACTGTTTCTTAATTGCCTCTTTTGTTAGACATGACTTCTGTTATTTGCTCAGAAGAAAAACCTTTACAACGAATTAAACTAAAATGCAACAACAATTTGAGCAAGTTGCCAAAAGAGGCTCAAAAGGTTAACCTAAAGATATCCAAATTTCATCCCAGTAAACCAGACACACACAACTTCGACATTCAGCTCTAGTTTTTCCATAAAGGATTGTCTAATGTTTAATGAGCATCTGAAAAGAGACTGCTGAAAAACAGCCAACTGGTCACTTTTGTCCCAGATATGGGACAAAAATGCACTGAAATGAAAATCAAAGAATGTCCCAGCTGTTAATTTTATCACCTCATTATGCAGAGAAGTGACACATCCGAAGGAAGGACGGGGAAACGAAACTCTTTGGGCTCTTGTTCCACTTCTTTTTGGTTAACCTCTGTTAACGTCCTCATTTAAACTCGGCTGTCACCGGGGGGCTGGGAGGGCTGCAGGTTCTCCTTTTAAACAAACCACATTCACGCAATCAAAGAAGCGCAAATGGAATCTGAGCTGACATCTTTGCAACCTAAAACCTAAAACCCTTCTCACATTGACACGAATTGGGTTTACGATCCAGAAGCAGACGAGTGAGATCAAATGACAACATTTTGGATGTAAAATAAAGTGTTTTAAGGAAGAAAACAGTCCTGTACTGAGACACAGTGGTACGTTTCAGGCCTGTTTATCTGCATTCGAGATGAGGCACACTAAATCATGCAAATTCATAATCAATTCAATTATCTACACATGACAAATCTATGAAAACTGAGTGATAACAGTACATGTGAGCAGTCAAAACCTAACCTCAGAAACACTGGCCGTCCCTATAGCGTTCAGTTTGCGTGAGAAAATCCAACAATTGCCAAATAATTACAGACCCACTGTGTACAAGCTGTAAACACAACGGCTGCAGGACCTTTTCCCCAAATAAAATGCATTTTAATCAGGGTTTCAATGCCTAATCAGCACATTTTCCAAACCTTAACAGTGTCACTCTGCTAGGTTGAGCCATCAGAACTGCCTGGTCAGTACATTTCTGGCTATTTCATTAAAAGATGCATCTTTTCCCACAGAAAAATACTCTAAAATATCCAAAATTGCATAAAGCCTACATGTTCCTTCCTCATTTCGCTCCACTGTTCCTGCCCACCAAAATACTGATGATGGTAACATTATGATGTTAAATTGTTCTTTCTTTGCTGTATTGTTTGTTATTCACTGTCTTTCTTCTGGAGTTTCCCATTTCACCCTAAATGGGAGGGATTTGACCTTTTACTGGCTAACTAAGAGATGATCACACCACAGAAAAGCCTTGACATCCACAATAAGACCAGAAACTCGAAGGAAAGGAAGTCAGAACACACAAAAAAGCTCAGGCCAGGACAGTTATTACATTTATAATGTCCCACACATCCAAAAAATCTGCACAAACTCCAATAATATGATGGTTTTAACCCTACAAAGCCCAACCGAGGAAAAAGTGGATGAAAAATACCAACTTTTTTATCTTAGGAATTTCTTTGACTCTTTAAAATGTATAAAAAAAGTATAATTTGCATGTATTTTTGGCTGATTTAATTAGTATTTTTTTCACAAATCAAAAGAAAAACTGAATAAAAGAGGGGGATCTTCTAACATTAGTTTATTGAGGGGGGATTCTGCTAAATACAGCATGTATTTTGCAGAATTATTTCACAATCACCATCAAAACTGTGACGATAATTTTACACATTTCTATCTCACTAAAGTATAAACACTCGATTAAGCTCTGCTTTCTTTTCTAATTTAGTGCAATCTTTTAACCCTTTAAAGCCCAATCCAAGAAGAAAATAGGGAGATTTTTTGTTATTGTTTGAAGTCTTTATTTGACCCTTCACATATATATATATATATAAATATATGAGAAAAAACAGAAATTATTTTTGAATATTCGTCATTGATTACCTTCTGCTAAGTCAGAATGAGTGTGCATAGCTGTTACCAGGTGTATCTTACCAGGTTTTGAACAAAGTTTTTACCATAAAATGATGCAAAAGGTCTCAGATGCTAAATTTTTCAGAAATCATATGTATCAAATATGATACATATGGCATTATAGGGTTAATCAGGGCTATCTTAAGGGTCTTAAGGGGACAATAATCCACTGAGTTCCATTTAAACTCCACGCTGTGTCTTTACTTGTCGTTGGACAGAAGTGACTCTGATTTCTGGACATCAGCATCAGAGTCCAACATCTTTCTGTGGTTCTGTTTTCTGCCTCCCTGCAGCTTTGAGGAGGAAATGCAGAACCACGTACTGGCTCAGAGCCTCTTTGGAGCGTTTTTGCTTTGAGTCGTCTTCCTCGTCCGGCCAAAGACGGACAACGACTTTCTGCTCCGTTTGCTTCAACTGGATTTGACTCCTCTGTCAGCTCTCAGGTGGGTTTTAGACATTTTAGACGTTTATTGAATGTTTATTTAGGTATAAAAGAGGAGCCTCTGAATGGCCACTTTTAATTAATGTGACTTTTTACATCAAAA